TCCTGTTGGCTTTCAGAGTGTGTTGCCTTGATCTGAATATAAAAATACAATGGAAGAAAAGAGCACTATTTCACTGAACAATTAAATAAGTATTTGCACAGTAACTGCCTGAATATTGATTTGACCTGTTTAATGGGACTTCTCCTGAACCTCTGCGCACAGTGTCTGCAAATTAGGGCTGTAGGATGTTACCTTCATCTTTACGCAGGACTGTAAGCTGCAGTCTGTGAGGCGTGAGCGTTTTTTGTTTTTAACATTGTTCATGGTGGAGAATAGTTACCCTCATGCATCTGTGGATCCAAAGATCGACAGGACTCCAAATGCATATTTTGTAGGGTGCTTTGCCGAGCTGTCGGGAAGTGTGATGTATATTTTGAGCGATGAAAAATAATACACTATATAAATTATTTTATTTTAACATTTCTAGATCACAGGAATCTTACAATTTACAACCACAAGCCAAACACTATTTTCTTATCAGGCCCTTAACAGCACAATACTAGTTCGTACAACTCACGGTAGTCGCCATTACCTCTCCTTCCTTTTTAATCTCTTATAGCAACACTGCCACCTAGTGTACAGTCAAGAGAAAATAACAGAAGCGACACACGTTCATGAGACAAATAACATACACTTCCATCCAGTGTTGTTTTCGTCAACGATGACGAAATTACTTAGCTAACCCTCCTTTTTCTCATGACGAGAACGAGAGGAGTACGAGCTAAACCTGGCTTTTTGATGACGAAAATAGGACGTCATACATGTGAGTTTTCGTTGACTGGACAATATTGTAAGCGTGTCTGTCAGACATTCAAAATGCATGACATCTCTTCCTATTGTGCATATAATCTGTCCAAAAATATCCACAATGCTGCAGCAACCTATCACTGATTGGTCATAACCACCACCTGGCCGGCACACAGGGCTAACGCACACACCAGCACAACACGACACATCTGCGGTCAATAGTCACATACACGGACATGCTTTCCATTGATGGACCATGGCAGCAGTGTCAACAAAGGGGCTTGGTGGTCGGAAAAGGAAGCAAAGATATATGGACATACTTTCTGTCCAAACCAACAGAAATAAACACAATGCATTGTAGATGGCGGTAACGGTAAATGTGGCCACAAACTAGGTGGAAAGAATACCACAAATCTCAAGTGGCATCTGAAGGCTCGCCACGCGAGTATCTTTTTCGCAGGTAAATCGCAATTAGTCATATTAACAGATCATACTGTATACATTTGCTAGCATTCGATGTGACTCAACAATTTGCTTGTGATAAAATTCATTGTAAGATTAAAGTTTTCCACTTAACTCCTAGCGCAAATGGGCCAACTTTAGGCTTAAGATATTTTGGTTGATCTAGCGTCAATTTATTAGCTTGTTATGTGTATAATCAAATATTAAAAGTTGATTAAGACACATGTAGAGATTATAACATAAGTAGGCTATGGAGTGAGTATTTTCTGCAATTTAGTTGGATGATCGGATAAATGTATTAATTACTTCTCTTGTATTACACAGGTGTCTCATGTTATTCTGAGCTGCAGTGATAGAATCAGGGTGTACAATTATCCACACTGTCAGCTCTGAGGATGAAATAAATTTTACACCATTAAAATGTTGTTAAACTTATGATGCGTTTGAAATACATTTCTGATACACTGTAATTTTGGCCTTTGCTCAGAATGAAATCTCAGAAGGCTTACATACAGGGTGCCATGTGGTTAATAAGTTATTACATCGTTTTTGACTCACCTGTAGACCTTTACAGCATGTGTTAGTAGATCAGAAAGGCTTTGCTATTGGGAGAAAACCTTGTATCTCTATTTTTGTTATTTTTGTATTTGATTGGGAGGAATGTTGGTGCCATTTGACTGTCATTGCTGGACAGCTCTGGGGGCGCTTGTGTTTTTTTGCGCTTGTAATGGGCAGCATTTTACACAGCCCCGCTTTGTTCAGCGGTGCTGTTGGGACGGTCTGTGGCTGGATGGATGCAAGGCTTGAGGAGCCAACGATGAGAAGAAAGGAGCATCGGCGCAGAGCGCCAATGCAGATGTGGAACTGGAAGTTGCGGCTTGGAGTTGAAGCGGATTACGTGGGACAGAAGATGTGAGCCAATCTCTTTTCATCAATGGACGCTACAGCTTCGTGTTTGCTTTCAAAACTTAGCTTGGAGCAGACGTGTGCACATTTTCAGCATGACGTCTTTGATCCACTGGTGAAAGGACTCTTCGATCCTTTCCTCTTTCATCTATAACTGCTTCAAACAACCAAGTGTATGCAGGAAAAGTGATTAAGATTGCACAACTGTCTGTATCTTGTGTTGTGTTATTTTGTTATTTTGACTTCAAGATGGTGCCGCGAGAGTGGCTGCCTTTCCAGCAGCTCCTATATTTTGTTCAACTTCTTCCTTTCAAAACTTTGTTGCTGTGAATTGGGAATTTCTCCATTGCGAGACTAATAACTTTGCAAAAAGCTAAAGAGTGAATTTTGCAATGCAGGAAGTGTTTCACACAAGAGCTGACAACAGAACAACTAATGGGTCTAACCGAGGTGCACTGACAGTTTGTGTGATATGGTGACATCACGTATGACGACAGTTCAAAACCAATGTTGAAAACTCACCACGGCATCATGTTAAAGCAAAACAATCAGTGACAATCTCTACACCAATACAGTCAACAGTGCCGATATTCAAATTCATCTGTCAGATGAATTTCTTTTTAAGCACCGTCTGAGAACTGACTTTTGAAACACAAACCTATACATTTGAATGTTTCACATTTAATAAAATCCACTTTATGTCAAACTACATTTTTCAACATTTGAATGCCATCAGAGGAAACTCAAATCATCGCTGCAAATTTTCAGAAGAATTGTCCGAAACATCCAGGCAGCATGCTATGGGCCTGGCCATCAACAGATGCATCGTTTAACATGCCTCATCGAAGTCAGTCAGTAGACGAGCCAATTTGATTTGGAGACAAAACGCTATTGATTAAACACACAGACTTAATAAATCTCTATATTCTCAAACATGCAAAGCTTGGGTCTCATTTCTCACATAAGATATTTGGTAATAAAGGATTAGAGTGCATACAGCTTTGTGTGCACATGGGATTGTATTCTCCAAAGCTGTCCAAGTTCTGTCAGATTCAGCACCCCAAGACACAGAGCTCGTGAACCTAATTTCACCTAATCAGCTTAGTCAATACCAACCATTTGCTGTGACTTTGGTAGACATGCAAATAGGGCTTAACAATGTCTATCCTTAATTCCTCAATGTTCATGTTGAGCAGAGTTGCTCCTTTATAGCTTCAAAAACAACAGTTCCAATATAAGAGAATGACAAAGACTGAGTATTAAACTGATTTGAGTGTGCTTGAGGTAGTAGTACTGTATATGCTTTTTTTTCAAAGCAACAAAGTAAACAACGGCTGACAGATTTGTGAACCATTTACATTTTGGCTCTTGCCTCCTCTCAAAAATATGGAAAAGTACAAAATGTTAGTACAGTGGTACCCCATCTTAAGAGTTTTTCAAGTTACGAGCTGTCGTTGCGTCACTGTTTTGCTTTGCGAGCCATATTTGCATTACCAGCAAGTAGCTGCTCAAGAAGTGGTGCAAAAAAGATGTCATCAATGCGCTTTCAGCTCTTTATTGAACTGGTCAATCAGTCAAAACACACAAATACAAAATGGAGAAAAAAAAATCCCAAGAAGCGTGGTAAACAGCGCAACAGAGTTGTAATCAGAGCTGATGATGTCACTTGCTCAGTCAGTATTTTTACCCTCCAGAAAGCTCTATATTTTTGATGATCTTATACTGCACATGAATTGAGTAGCACTGCCACACAGTCAATAGTCTTGAATGGCGCACTTTGCGATAGGCGCTGGCCATCTTTCGCCCAGTGGCAAGTATTACCATCCACAACATTTACAGTACATACACAGAGATCCCGCTTTCAGCGCTGAATTGCTGTATATGTCGACATTGCCCAACTGCAAAGTGAGGAGATCTTTGAAGGGGCATTGTTCATTCGCTCCTTCGAGATGTATCAACATGCCAGAACTCACTCATTCTAACACCAATTTACAAGTAGAATTTGCCATTTTTATGGCAAATACAATGATAGTATCCAATATGGTGGCCACTTTGACATATCACACTGAAAAGGGCACTCTGCTCATGGCAGCATCAGCAGCAGAAAAAAAATAAAAGTCTTCATTTTACTTTCACTTTTGATGTCAAAATGTTTTTGTGGCTGCCATATTTTCTTTTCTGTATCAAAAGGGTTAAATGGCTCTTTTGAGTTGCCAACACCTACCCCATACTGATTGATATTGTAAAGTGTCCCTTCTCATTTGCCAGACTGTACATGTGTGCCAATCAAACAAGCCTCCTCATTCGGCTCTCATTATTTGCAAATATGGACACATTTTATAAACATGTATGCCATTAGACAATGCCACAAAAACTTTGCAGATTCCCTTTTTTTAAAATGCATGGAACTCTTCCCCTAACATTGACGTTTTATGACATAAATCTGCACACCTAATATTTTCAGTGAAACTGTTGCAGATTAGACTGGCCATCAATCAAAGAAAATCACACAATGGTTTCTATTTTTAAGGTCTTAGTAAACTCAAAGCTAGTATTGAACACAAAAAAATAGCTACTATGATCAAATAAAATACAAGCTTCATTTAAAATATATATTTTTAGAGAGCCATGCCTCAAGTGGGGGGGCAAAAGCATCTTGGTGGGCTGGTACGGCTCCCATATGGCCCGCCCATGGCGACAAGTGTGCTTAAAGGTACACATCAACGCACGTATACAACAGTGTATGTGACTGTCATCTTTCTTGCCCTTTATAAAATCTGCTACTTCACATTCTCCTCTACAATATCTAATATATTTATTTACAATACTGTGCTATTTTTATTTCTTTAAAACATGTAACATTTTTTTGGGGGGGGGCGGCTGAAACAGATCGATGACATCAGTTTATTTAATTGGGGAAATTGGTCATGGCACTTGAGTCAAGACACCACTGTACACGACTAAGTTCTATGTTCATGCAGCACATTGTGAACAAACGTAGAGCGTCATTTGAGAATTTGAAAAGCTGAGATACATTGCCCTGCTTCAATCCGGTGATACCACTAATGGCTCCTAAGCAGCTCCATGAAATCAAGCAGCTGTCATGTCGATGCATCAGCGGCGTGAGGAGGGAACACCATCCCCATAAGGACAGGGGGGTCTCTGTGCCTTCATGTTTGGCTAAACATCTGCTTCTCGGCACTATGTCTTTGCAGCAATAAATGGCCAAACAAAAGAGGTGGGAGGTGAAATGATCACATTTTCCATTTCAAAGCATTTGCTTGTTTGGTTTGGGTTTTCCTTTCCTGTCCCCTTTGGACATTGATCTTAAGTTTGGCTCCACTGACTCAATGTGTGCAACAACATGGAACAGCTGAAAATAAGAGATAGAAGTGTGTTTTTTGGACCTGTGAGCTCCCCAAGTTTAACTCCAGACTAAAAAAGTGTGCAGCAATAACTACAATAAGAGATAAAAGGATGCTATGATGATTAATGGAGTCTCTTTTTAGAATCTGAAGCATAGCTCAACATGGATTACAACAGACAAGAGATACACTCTTTCCCCAATCAATGTACTTTTATGTTAACAAGCTTATATTAATTAAAAGACAGTTCATTTCAGATTAATTCGTGCTATTTGGACAGAATTGACACTGACAATTCTCCCCTTAATAAGATTCATAGTAATTAACATCCTTCCTTGTTTCCCTTCCTCCCCCTCTTTCAAGTCCCATTTTGCTTCATTCAAAGATCAACAAAGCACTACGTACTGTGGTTCAACTTGAATTCACATTTTCACAAACCATAAATAATACACACTTGTGTGTGAAGGGGCAGTTGATCCCTGGTTTCAACTATTTCATATCCACCTGCTTATCGAAAATGACGAGCTATGTCGCCTTCTGGAAGCACCGACGTCTTGTCCACTCACGGCTAACTCAACCGCTCATTACATTCGCTTCCATAAACGTCAAAGACAAACTCCTCAATATACCCCCGTGTGCTCCCCCGTCACCGACACCCGTTTTGTGATGTTTTTTAGGTCTAAAACTTTGTTTCTAAAACTTGGGAAGACAACGTGGATGTATGTGAAGGTGAGCGGTGTTGTTTGTGGGGTGTTGGGGTGGGGGGATTACATTGAAGATAGCCAAGATGGCGAGGAGCTTGTTGTTTTGGCAGTGGGGGCAGAGAAACGGACGATATTGTGAATATACGCACTCACACAAATGGAATACATCTTTCAGTTTCTCCGGTTGAGGAAGCGACCTAAACCCCACAAGGTTGTCTTAATGACCAGCCAAACAACGGAACCGGGGGCATCACGAACATGGTGGTGTGGTGAAGGGGTGAAAAGCACATATTGTGGGACTAAATCGAAACCAACCTTGGGGAATATGTTGCATTTGGGGATAATTTGTTGGGTCCTCGTTAAAGTGGACCGCGCTGCACCTTTAAAACAGCATTACAACATAGCACCAAAGCGATAAGCGTACGTTGACTAAAAGCCAAAAGCACCAGCAAGGCACTGTCAAGTTGAATATTTTCATAAATACACACGTTAGGACCAAAAAGAAACCAAATTAGTTGGAGTGGGGCGATGCGTGAGAAACGAAGCAAGCAAGGCAACACAAAAGACGATTTGTCCCACTATCAGATCGCCGTGAAAAGACGGAGTGCATAAGAACAATTGGTTTATGCATATAAGCGCAACAAAACTCCGATTTTAACTTATTTGTTGCTTTCGAGTAGTGTAAACCACAAAAAAATGAATCTACAAAGCGGCGATTTCAGTAGCATGTGATGAGAGCGAAAACACGGCGTCCGTCAGCCACAGTAAAATAAAACAAAAACACTTACCTTGTTTTACTTTGCACTTTACTTATTTCCAACGTGGATCGAAAGGGTAAACTAACACTCCGGTTTGCTCGTGTGTTTTGCTTCTTTTTCCACCTCTCTGGGTCGCTTTTGGTTATGAAAGAGGTCGATGACGAATGATAAAGAAGGGGAATTGGGCAGTAATTGAGTCTCGCAGTGTGTGTATGTGTGTGTGTGTGTGTATGTGTGTGATAGCAGATTGAAGGAGAGTCTCTTCTCAAGGTTTATTCAGGCTCCACTTCAAGGAACCGATCTGACGTCGTCGGCTCTCTACTGCCACACAAAGAGAGAAAAAAAGTTCTTATTTGTGCAGTAGCCCCTTGGCAACCAACAAGAATGCAGTCGTTGACCGTTATTACTTTGAAATGCGACATGATGACATGAAAGACGTCCAATGCACGTAACGGACCCTTAAAAAAAGACAACGCGTCTTACTTTATGACGATGACCTCCCTCAAATGAAGACGTTGAAAGGCACATTTGTCACATTGGAATTCGCGCTTTTTGACCATTCTCAGCCAAGTCTTAATTTTGCTATTTAGCATTATTTTATTTTTACATGACATATCCCGTGGATTTATTAATTGCATCAATTTGAATGCTATAAATGATATCCCACGCTTTCAAGCACGCAGTCCGATGGATTAATATCATATGCAAGCAGTGATTTGAAACACAAGTGAGACTATACTTATTGCCCAATTGCAGTGAACTGTCTCCCAAATTTTTTTTTCGCTCATGCAGTTAATTTTTGAAGTATGAAATCCATGTTCTATCAAAAAAGTGTGTCGCCATTACAATCTGTCTACATTCAGTTCTACCCTGTGAAAAAGCCTGATTTTTAAAAAGACAACATTGTGAGAATGTGACTCGTGATTAAGTTTATAATTTGTGCATTTTGACTTGTACTACTGAGCAGTCAAATCCTACTCTTCCCAGTTAGCCTTTATTGTTAAAACTCAGACCCAATGGAATCATTGATTGGGTTCAGTTGAATGCTGAAAACCGATACTCTATTGTCAAGTTTTCCAAGCATATGTTTTAATGCACACTGTCTTTTCATTAAAAGTGGCATACAGAGTAATTTCACATATTCTGGGGATCTGCATTCACTTGTTCACCTGTTCACATTTTTTGGGGTGGGGGTGAGCATTCAAAACCTTTCCTCTTATTCATGGAAGAACATGCATAGTTCCATTATTTGTTTACGGTATTGTTTGAAATATGAATACATGCAATATCTAATAACTTTTATAGTTGCAGCAATTGTTAGCAAAATTCCATTATTTGTGGTCGGGGTCAGTACCTAGCCCCTGTAATTAGCAATGGCTCACAGTATACTTTTAAGTGCATCGAACTGCCTCCTGCCTGCTGAAAAAAATTTGAAAAAAAAAACCAAATCAGGACAATGGTACCTGTACTTTCTGAGTTACTATCGCTGGGTCGATTTGTATTTATTTTTTTCTCGCTTTGGGTTGTGAGCGGATTACGAGTGAGCTTCATATACACCGCCGCTCGAGTGAAGTGGAAGAAGAGTTAGCGATGCACTTTCAGCCCTTTATGGAAAGGAAGAAACAGTCAAACACACGATACAAAATGAAAACACTCACATGGAGCATAGAGCGGTCACTAACACTGAACTACCCTCAAAACTATTTGTTTAACGATGCAGTCATTTTTTTGAAGTATGAAATCCAAATTTTGCGTGCATAATTAATGTGTTTGACCATTTATTTTGAAGAAAATTAGCCAGATTCTAGTTTTCCTTTTTAACTTTGATTAATGTTAAATCAAACTAAATTTTAATGCTGAAGAATTACATTGTATTTTTACTCAAGCATGCCACATGTCACAAAAAATGCTCTAATTATGAAAATTGAGATTCTGCATAGTGCATTTTAGTTTATTGAAACTGTTTGTTTCATGCATGCAGTCTTTCAAGATGAAAAGTGTAAGCATTAATAGGTGCATCTTCCTCACAATCTATCTACGTGCAGCCATTTCACCATGCTGAAAAGTATGAGATTATATTTTGTTTGAGCTGCAACTCACGATTATTGTAATAATCATGTAATTGATTGACTATTATTTTAGGTAATTGTAAAATCGAATCAAAAAAAGTTTTCATTGACATCACTTCATTCAAAAATAGCACATTATTTCAAATTGACTGTGGAAAAAATGCACAAACATCCATTTAATGATGATTCCATTACTGGCTTGGTCCGTAACATGTCAGTAAATAGGCAAAAATATTTTATTTTGATTCAACGCTAAGATCGTCAGTCTGCGTTCTTGGACGACAGCAGAAATTGGAGAATAATAATTTGTTGGGAAGCTGAAATTCAGAGTTTTCAGACTATTTTGAATTTAAAAAGGTTTCTAAATGACTAAGCGATCATCAAAAATAATTTTCATTTCATTTGATTAGCTATTTATTGCACCTCCAATATTTTCAAGTGCAGTTACTACGTAAGCATCTTTAACCAAAGCACATTTTTTTCTTGCGTACAGACCGTCATTTTGTTGCGATGTGGGGGGGAGGCAGCAAAATGTGCACTCAGTCTCACTAACTGACCAAATAATGAGCTTTGAAGGGGTGATACTTGATCAAACAAATACAAATCAGTTGCACACGGGCTCAACATAAGAAGGCATTTGTCAGAACAAAAAAAAAAACAAATGGCACAGATCTTCCTCTGGGTAGGATCAATACATTGCCTGGCGAAGACAGCCATCTGTGCCTAATTGTATTCTTTACCTCCTCTTCTGAACACACAATAAGCAACAGGCTGAGCACAGGCCCTCTGACCCAGACTGGGTTTCCAGACGGGAAGATTATTTCATTCAACTGGAAAACAACAAGGGGGTGGGGCAATGTTTTTTTTTTTTTGCTATCGGAGTGGGCAACTGCTCCAAAATGCCCCACCCTGATGAGGACGGGACAAACAACTGGTGCATCGCCTCATGTCACATCATTGCTGTGCCGCATCTATTTTTATTACACATGATGAACAAACAGCTCACACTTACTTTGTGGACACCCTATAAATCAATTCTAATTATTGTTAGGAGCCACACGGAGTGTTGGTTTACAGGCACATTCATGTTAACGCTTCATAAACATTGAAAATGACCATTAATGTTTGATGCTTTTTCTCCTCTGTGCCAATGTCGCCATATGTGGCCTCTTTTAAACTTTTAGGGTACGAATGTCTGGGAAATATTTTTATGTTTAACTGAATCAGAATCATCTTTACTGGCCAAGTATGTTCAAAACGCAAGTTTCCTCAACTAGTTGGGGCAACTGTAATGCTTTCACTTATACTGTCACATAATACAGTAGTACCTTGACTTACAAGATGAAGTGTGTACGTTTAGGATGTAGACACAAATGTACAAAGTACATAGTGAAGGTGTGCCATAGTGCAGCACTGCTTGATAAAAAATAAATTGTGAAAATGATGAAGTGTGAGAGTGTCACTTCAGAATTACAATACTTTGAGACAGTGTGGTTTGCAAAATCATCCCTGCCCAAGTACAGTACAGTTCAGTTGTATTTACCTTGTACAGTACTGTATTTGTACGTAATCTTTTACAACTCTTTGTTTTTAGAAATGTACTGAGACAATTATTCATTCTATTTTTAGTGCAATACATTTTAATTGAGGACAGCACGCTGAACAACTGGTTTGCACGTCCGCCTCACAGTGCAGAGGTGCAGGGTTCGATACCAAGTCTGGTCTTCCTGCGTAGTTTATATGTTCTCCCCATGCTTGTGTGGGTTTCTCTGGGTTCTGTGATTTCCTCCCACATTTCAATAACATGCACCATAGGTAAATTGAACGGTCTAAATTGTCCCTAGGTGTGATTGTGAGTGACAAATGGTTGTTTGTCTTTATATGCCCTGCGATTGGGTGGCACCCAGTTCAGGGTGTACCACGCCTACCAGCAAAAGACACCTGAGATAGGCTCCAGCACACTCGTGACCCTCGTTAGGATCAGCAGATTAGAAAATAGATGGATGGGTGGGCATTTTAATTGAATCATTAAGTTGTTTTTTTCTTCTATAAATACAGCGTTAATGTGCACACTGTGATAATGTTACAGTTATATTACATGTACTTTTTAGGAAAAAAACCTCTGGCCTGTTGATAGTGGTACAGTACAAATTGGCTAGTGTTAATAGTTTGGGTTAAAAATAGAATGTCAGTGTTGCATTAAGACCACTCAGTAGTAAAATAGCCTGTATAGTCTAGTCTAGTCTCCGTACTGGACTGTGGCCCACTCTTTTTTCGGGGGTGGAGCGTCAGCCTACCCCCGACCCCATCGATTATCTTCCAAAGGGCAATATAACTAGGGTTATATCATTAGGAATTGGGATATTATGTGACATGGGCGTCATTAGGCCTATTTTAGGGAGGCTTCAGCCTCCCTAAAAATGTCTTTAGCCCCCCTAAATAATTTCATTGCATTATTTAAAAAAAAGTATTATTTATTTTTCTGTACTTTTGCTAATATATTGCATCAAATTCAATGTAATGTGGCCATTTTAAATTATATTTCGATAACCTGCCATTATTGTGATGTTAAATCTCCCAGGTTTCCTGAACGCAACAAGTGTTGCGTTAGCATTTGACGTGTCTGTCACCATCGCCACATCAAATGCTAACGCAACAACTGACAGTTCATTGCCGAAAGTCAGGTTGAGTCGACAGCATGGATATTCGACAGTTTTTTAGAAAGGTAAATTAAGTATTCAATGCATCCATGCTGGGTAAATTAAGTATTCAATGCATCCATGCTGGTAAAACGAGTGACTATGGTCCGCGAAAATATCTCCAGTAAAGCAGAAACTGCACTGTAACAAGTGTTCACTTTTGGATAAATTAAGGTGGTGCTTAATAAAAATTAAGCAACATTTCATTATTAAATACATAAATAATCATTACACCAACTCTTTGAGGCAACACCTATTGAGATTTTGGCCTATATAAAATAAATAAATAAATATAAAATAAATACATTTATCAGGCTAAAGACGCACAGAGAGTGAGCCGGGGGGGAGCTCTGCTGGACAGGTGAGTCTATCAGATCTCAAGGCTAATTTTACTTGCAAGGCTGTTCCCAAAATGCAATCGGAGCTTACAGTAAGTATTGAGCAGCAAACTTGTGTTTTTCCAAAGTGATGAAGCTTTTGCATCTCATTGCACTAACTTAAATTGCATATCACGGCAGACATCTCAAAATACATAGTCTTCTGGGGGCTAAGCATATATTAATACATTTTGGTAGAGAGGAATATAGGCCTACTGTCATATAGGTTATGTTATCGGGCATCCTTCTAATTCCCTTGAACAACCAAGATTGAACTTTTGAACTCTTTATAATTTCTATTATCTAGTCCAGTTAAAGTCCAGGGGAGGAAGCCCCATCATAGTAAAGAGGATACTAATGTGATGTATGTAGTTCTTCATAGCCTCTTCATTTTGCTCTCAAAGTGCACGGAATTGATGGATTTTTAAAAGAATGTAGAAAAAAATTCTCCCGGGGGGGCATGCCCCCGGACCCCCCCTAAAGGGGCTGTGTTCCCCTTGGGGCTAAGCCCCCCTTGTTCTTGAAACCTAGTGACGCCCCTGTTATGTGACCAGGTCGGAGCTGTGATCATCTTTACTGCATCAGATGCGGTGGAAACCTTTGCGATATCAGCCACTCAAGAGTCCAGCTTTTCCTTTTACTATGGTTTGCAAGTTGAAGGAAACAGAATCCGACAATAATTGAAGGAAAAAGCAGTAAACAGAAGGTTAAAGGAATGATGAAATATGTAGCTAAACGCACAGCTGATGGGCATCCATGACTTGCCGTAATCTTAAAGACATGTTCCTCGCCGTCACTTTTGTGGTGGTATCTCCAGAGCGAAATTGGAGGAGGAAGCTGTTGTGCAAGATAGGTCCTCAAAAACAAGGCAATACAACAAACCCATTGAATCATTTGAACAAGGAGAATGCAAGCGATGATATGAAAAGCCTGCGGGCAGAGTTTGCATAACCTGGCCACGTAAACATTAGCAGTTTAGCTGCTAAAAACTTAGCCAGCAGGTAGCAATGATGCTATGTATGTAGTATCATAATTGTTGCTGGTCTGCAGAAAGCACGTACCAGAGAGTACTGGTCTCGAATATAAGACTGGGGCGGCATGGCTTAATGGTCGTTTCCCAACCCGGAGGTTGGTGGTTCGAACTCCAACCATTGCAACTGTGTCAAAGTGTCCTTGAGCAAGATACTGAAAACCCGAAGTTGGGTGCTGCGTCACCAGTAGGTGAATGAGGTAACAGTGTGAAGCGTTTTGAGTACTTTGATACTTGGGGTGTGACCTGGATTCAACCTTGATTGGTGTCTGTATTTGAAATTTAAACCATGCCCTTACATAATGATTGAAGTGGACTGGTTAGAGTCGAGACAATTTTCTTCAGCATCATTTTCCTCCTCGCTTGCACGATGACTTTAAACTTCCCTAAGGTAGGCATAAGTTTCACAAGATGGTATTTGATGGGAAAAAATGCCCCATAACTTGGTTTCCACTTAAGTTTTCTATTTCATATTTCTTGTTCATTGTTTAAAACAGATTGGCCAAGAGTATATTTTGTGTGAAGTCACATGATTGCTTTGGGTGCACGGCCAATCGGGTTCATTAACACAGTATTTAACGTTCTGGTTGAAGCAGGTGTAAGCAGCTAGAGCGATGAGCTGCACGGAACTTTTTTTGGACTGTGAGTAACACAACGTCTCCATTCAGTCTAATGAACGTCATTTGTCACCTGCTTGACAAACAATAAACCTATTCTCCAAAATTTAACATGTAAATAAGATGATAGCCAAGGGTCCTTGAAGAAATTTGATTGCATTGAGGTTTTTCGTGAAAAGTTAAAAAGTTAATGTCTGCATTATCTATGTGCATGGAATTGCCAAACTCTTCCCCAATGTAGACAACAAGGTCTTATGTGAATAATGAGTTGGCGAAAAAAAAAGAAAAAACCCCTCTGGTGTTTCCTCCTTTGGCCATGTAGGCCTACAGCATTGGTGTCAAACACAAGGCCCGGGGCCGAGATCTGGCCCGCCACATTATTTTATGTGGCCCGTGAAAGCAAATCAGGTATGCCAAGTTTCATGATGCTTGCTAAAATCTGTACCAAAATGTCAAATTTGCATATGTAATAAATAACAGAGACATTGTAAGCATTTTCTTGTAATCAAACTTCTCATTACAACTTCTCATTACAATAACAATAGTTGAATAAACCATTATTCTTGACTTCTTCTATATGGTTTCATAGTCCAAATGGCTCTCCAAGGGAAATAGTAACTACAATGTGCTTCGTGACAAAAATGAATTTGACATCCTTGGCCTACAGGAAATGGACTTCAGTATTGTATTGTGGAATTGTTTTGTATCCATTTTCTTCTGTCTGTTTTGCTGCCCTGTCATTTTGAAGGTGGCCCAAAGAATCTGCAAGACCATCAACATCTGAACCGCCATGAGGTGATGAATGCATGTCCAATGATGAAACGTTTGCCCATCCAGTCAGTTATCAAAGTGTCAAAATGAAAGCAACGTTCACGCACAGAGAGATTCTACACTTTCCAGATCAAGTGAAAGGGTCATGTCAAATACTGTATGGAATGTCTAGTGTTGCCGTTACCTCTTGGGTGAAAAACTATGGAGATGAATGCCAGAAAGGAATGTTTGTATGTGTTGGTATTGAAAATGAATTCCCTATTTTCAGGAAAATCGCTAAATTGTCTTCCGACCACAAATAATTTGATTGTGGGTGGTGATGATTATCTGAATGCATTTAATAACCGTGAAGGATTTCTTCACTGTTGTTGGTGTGGCTGACCAGATTTTATTATGGGCACAATCTTTGGCAGTTTTCATGTAAAAATCATGAAAGAACATACATTGTGCTCTACTGCTGTTTTGCATGAGCTGTCTGAAATGGATTCAATAAAAGAAGTGTTCTGAATTGAAATGTTGTAATGCATTTTATTTAAAGTTGTGTGGCATCCCCCCCCCCCACGCTGTATAGTGTTGGCATGAACGGTCATTAGTCTTATCTAAACACTCAACAGTGTCATTATTACTGCACTGTCAACACTACATTTTGTTGCTGTAATACACTATCCGGGTGTTGAACATTTAACACTTTCTTTAATGTTACTTTAGTGTGGATGCATATAAACACTCTGCTGGTGTTAAAATTAACACCGAAAGGTGTTGATTTAACACGTGATGTGCAGTGTACTGCATTACAAAGTATTTTCTGAAGTGGTCCATGATGTAAAAGTATGAGAAGCACTAGCTGAAGAAGTTAATAGCAATCTTGGTGTGCATTGTTCCATAGCATTGACCAGAGGAAAGGAGCTGGGAGATTTTGGCGTCCAGGGTGGGCTGAGTCCAACAGAATTTCGGCCACTCTTCTTTATTGCAGCATGCAAATCCTCAAGAGTAGGTTGACGACTTACAGATCATACATCTGAGAATGTAGGAGGTCAGTGGTCATTCCCTAACTTGGAGCAAAAACATTAAAAAAAGCATTTTATGAGTCATTCTAGAATTTGAGGACAATTAAATAAATATTGCTGAATATGTGCTTTACAATAGAAGAGGAGACTTAACTGGGGTCAACCCATTGTCAGAGCAACTAGCTGATGATATCATTCCTGTAGAGTCATGCAGCTCACGAGGGGTGCAACAACTTCACAGAATAATTCCCACAGTATGAACTATGTTTCTGATCACCCAAATGTTCTAACAATGACATGGTAGACATATCAATAAAATACCCAAAAGCTGATTCCAAAAGTGTTTTCTCTCTTATATATAATATGAAAATTTTTGATCAAGAGGAAGGGAAAAGCAAGAGATGCCATTTTAGGGGGCACCTAAGATTGTTTTGTTATTTTATATCACATTTACAAATTACCTTTACTGAACCTGCACCTACACCTTTGTCTCAGGACAACAAATTTACATAAGAACTGCATGTATCTGCATTTTCTGCATGAATGATTTGAACTGAGTGTCCTCTGATTGTAGAATGACCCTGATACGCATGTTCTCCATCTTCCGCGGTCATTGATTTCTCTCTCTGTGCTCCTTTTTCCATTACCTGTTGAGATGGGGCGGAGCTGTAGTTCCTCCATCAAAATCCTCCCCATCTGCCTATGTAGCCTCTGGCCCCCCTGCTGTATTTCTCCATCGACTCTCGTCGCAGTGCTGACAGGTCGTGAGGAATGACAGTGTTTGTCATACAGTAGCAGCAAGAAGCAAGGATTTTTTAATTGCACTGGAGAATCTTCATTATGGCGAGTGCGTGGGGGCGGGCAGCATAGGAGTGCGTGTGTGTGTGTGTGTGTGTGTGTGTGTGTGTGTGTGTGTG